TAATGAGTTTTATTCTGTTTTTGTTGAGTTTTAAGTTTGTTTTACAATTATCTGCTAAATTGCTGGTTTTGTGAATGGAGTCTGGTAAATTGCAGCACCCATTGTTTTGGTCTGACATATTGGCTTTTGTAAATATAACCTTTATATATATATTATTTATTTTGTCAAACAGTAAAAAATTCTTGTTGTGGTTTGTCCTTTCAGGGCCACTGTAGAAACATGGCGGACTCCGCCAGAACAGGAGCCGCTCCCTCTGTAGATAACAATGTCTCATTCTAAGGTAATAAACACACAATTTATGTTCAGGTGTTTAAACACTAATGAAAACAAACCTATGGATATTATATTAATGCGACACACTGGAGCTTTAATGCTTGATATATTTATGTAATAACGTCTAAATAACATCTTAACAATTTGTTGATATCATGTTAATAAAATGTTGGTATGTTTTCGTACCAGCAGGTCGGGTCGGTTGACATCCAGTGGCTCCTCCACCTCAAACTCCCTCTCACACTGCAAAGCATGCTGGGAAGGCCTGTCCAGCACAGCCCGTACGTAGTATCGGATGTAACCAAACTTTCCTTTATAGGACGACACCAGACGTCTGAAACAGAGGACACGTGGTCATGACACTGCGATCAGACCTATAATCAATAATGAAATTTTTATAAGTAATCACTGTAATCAATCGCAGAGGCTCACCCGGCTGCAGGCAGCTCAAAGCCGAACTGGAAGCTGTACGTTTTATCGGACTGAAGCAGGAAGCAGCCGTCTGAGTCTGAGGGCAGAGAGCGTCCATGAGCAAGGTAGCAACACTGACAGACTCAAACCGACCATACAAAACTCATTAATCAATTTTTATTTGGTTTTTACAAGTCGAACAATGTTGGTAAATAAAATAATCTTTAATTATTGATACACAAATCAGAAATATTTATCTTTTATTTGTTATATTATGTCCAATCAGTAGTCTTTGGGAGTAACTGATTATGTAATCAAGATACAAAAAAGTTAACTGTAACTGTTACATAACAAAGATGTAATCAGATTACAGTTACATTTAGTAAAAATGTGGATTATTAATAGGATAATAGTTTTAAAAATCGATCAGTTCTTCTTTATAAACACATTGTTCTGCTGTCTGTAGTACACTCTTATCAATACTGACCATAGATATTTTTTTATTGGAATATTTAGTATTGAGGTAATCCAAAAGTAACACAAAGTAATCAAGTTACTTTAATATTCTGATACTTGGATTACTGACTACATTTATTACAGGTTAGGGTAAATTATTAGTAATCAGATTACATTTTTAAAGTAATCTTCCCAACATTTCCTCAAATCTGTCCAATCACTGCAGTTTAATATTAGCTCATATTACAGGCAATTTATTCTTGCTGGAACAAGTTGCCTTCTATTTTTAATCAATTATACAAAACAATTTAATTATAAACAACATCGCAATTTTTAGAAACTCTTAACCTCAACAACGGCAATAAATAAAACACAAGATTAAAACAGCCTTGATAATAAAAAAGTGACTTTTAGTTTTTGAATTTTCCATCTGATTTTGTGTTATGGGTTAGGATTAGTGGCATTAACGGGCTTCCGTAGCCTCCTTTCTCTCGAACAGTAAACGTCCTCCGTACCTTTAGTGAGCTCCTCCTCCAGCCTCAGCTCCTCCTCGTACTTTAGGTACTCCACCTCCTGGCTGCGACTCTTGCGGTTCTTCCCACCACGGTGGACCACATGGGCGCAGCCGGCGGCGGAGACCCTGAGTCCGGTCAGCCTGCAGGTCTGAGCCGCCTCCAGCTGTACGGAGCCGGACAACTTGTCCCCGCTGCTGTAGAAGGACCGGCCCAGATCTGAGAAGACCAGCTGGAACACTCTGAGCTTGTTGGTCGCCGGACACAGAACCATGATGGTTCTGGTTCTGGTGTCAGTGTCGGTACAGGTGCTGGCTCTGGCTCTTCCTCTGGTACTGGTGCTGGTGCCGGTACTGGTGCCGGTGCTGGTGCTGGTGCTGGTGCTGGTGCTGGTCCCAGTACGGGTTCGGGTGCCGGTGCTGGTGCTGGTGCCAGTACGGGTGCTGGTGCCGGTGCTGGTGCTGGTGCCAGCACTGGTTTGGGTTGAGGTTCTGGTTCTGGTTCTGATAAATAATAAATATAATTAAAATAAAACTGTTCTGGTCAATGAGCTGAAGCAGTCAGTGTTTCTGTGTCAGTAAACAGTCGGAGGTCAGTTTTATACAGCCAGTGGTGTGTGTGTGGGGGGGGGTGTCCCGGTGTCCCGTTACCTCACTGAGCAGCACGAGGTCATAGTGTGGACACACAGAGCCGCTGGAGGACGGAGCTCTGTGATTGGTTGGTGCAATCTCTTTGAAAAACTGTAGCCAATCAGAGTGAAGAGAGGACGCATGGACAGCTCGTGCTGTTGGTGGTGTGTGTCTGTGTGTGTG